TTATTATTATTATTATTATTATTATACACTGCATTATTAATCGACTTAAAGACAGACTTAGGGAACGGATCTTGTTCGTAACCTGGGGACACTGGGGGTCAGCGTATGGGGGTGAGAGTGGGGGTCAGAGGAGCCCGTCATGGATACAACACGCGCTCCTGGCGTGACCTTAGCGGTCACCTCTGTTTCCATGCCTGATGGAGGGAATTTCCTTCCCAGAGAGCAGAGCCCCTGATGTGGGTCTCGGTTTCAGCCCAAGGCCCTGTGCCCCAGCCAGCCTCCCCTTGTTGGCCCGTCTTAATGGAACAGCGTCTATCACGCCCAAACCTCCCCCCCACCCCCCACACACACCTTGTGATGGAGCAACCAAAATTGCACTCGATTACTAAAATTGCAGCTCCCCTGGGACCTGCCTCTCCACCTTTCAGTAGCCCCATCCACACCTGCGCTCATCAGAGAATTTTCTGGAACTGCTCCACGTCTCGTTGCCAGAATGCGAGAACACGGCGTCGTTCCCCTTCCCGAAGTTTCCCGGTGTGATTGGACGGCGCCCCTGAGCGAGCATATTCCAGGTGGTCTTCATCGAATCGCAGGAGGTGTGGAGAACCTCAGGGCTTTCAGGACACCATGCCAGCATGTAAAAACTCTCGATCAACATTGGAGCACATGCTGAAGAAATTCCTCACAGTCACCTGACTCAGACGCGAGTCTGGCTTGTTCATACCATTTAGAGAAGCTCCTTCATTCTTCACACATAACATACAGTACTATGGCAACCTTTCTGCACAAAGAGAAATAAACACAAACTTGATGAAAAAAAAGAAGAAAATAGGATGGAAATCCATGTGGTTCTGATCCAAAACAGGCTAGCCTAAGGTTCAGGTTAGCTCCATTCTAAACTTCCATAACTCTCTCAGTCCATTTTACGTTGTTTTTGAGATGAGTGGAGTGAATTCGGAAGTTTCCTATTTAATTGTGCTTCTTGAAAGCCCCCCACCTTGTGTCACCTGCGACAGGCCTCATGCTCATGCCGTAGCCGCATTTCCTGGTTGTTTAGACTGGGGGGTCCCAACCTTTTGATGTCCATGGAATGGTTTACGTCCTACAAAAATGTCATGGACCATTTCCTGTTTTTTTTTTTTTTTTAAGATGAAAACACGTGAACATGAGATTTCATAAAAAAATGAATATACAGTATATAGCATCTTTTTGGATTTTAGCCAACCCCTCTGCAAAACCCCCAGTGTCCCAGTGGAATACTACCTATGGACTAGTACTGGTACGCAGACTGGGGGTTGGGAACCTCTAGCTTAGATGCGCCAATGTCTGCTGCCTGTAGTGATGTAAGGATTAGTCCTCCCCCAACTTGGTGCTGTGGCCCATATGTACAAAAGAGACAAGGACAGTCAACCACAAGGACTAAATGGAGAACACAGGGTGAAATGAGATTAATCAAATCAATTAATCAAATCAAACTGAAACACCCAGCGATCATTTTCTGAGCCAGCTGGGGAAAATTCATTTTCTTTTCCCACTATGGAATCATCCGTAATTTTTCTTGGGGGAGGAATTTTTCTACAAGTGTGCAAATGTGAATGAGCATGCACAGTGAGGCACATTCAGATCATTTGTTTAATACCTCCTGGATTAATATGCTAACCTCTAGGATTCACTGTATTAAGATGCATTATACGAAATGCCAGCTGTTCATTGGTGTATAGAAAAGATACAAGTACAATATCAGGTACAGCATGTAATACCATAATGTAAAGTTACTACATGTGTTTTTTATGAAAAGAATATCCAGATAAATATCCAGCAACCACAAAAGAAAGCAAAAAGATGTACACCCCCATTCCCAAAACAGGTGGGATGCAGTGTATAATGAAAGCAGATTGATTATATGCAATCATATAAACCCATATTTAATTGAAAATAGAACAAAGACAACATATTAAATGTTGAAACTGAGAAATTTAATTCTAACAATTATATGCTCAATTTGAATTTGATGCCAGCAATGCGTTTTTAAAAAAATGTAACAGGGACAACAAAATTCTGATTAGGTTAATTGGCAACAGGTTAGTAAGGTTATTGGGTATAAAAAGAGCCTCCCAGAGAGGCAGAGAGAGGTTCACCGCTCTGTGCAGTGAAGATGTGGAGAGGTTCACCACTCTGTGCAGTGAAG